ACATCCCCTTGGTACAGACCATGTTTTTTTTTCCTTTGGGGAAGGAAGCCACTTTCTAGTAAAATCATCACAGTATCTCTTCCAATTCAGCCTTCTCAGTGTGAGATAAACCAGAAGGTAAAAGATCTTTAGAGCTCTCCTTGTCATACCGGATTCTGTAATCTGAGCAGAAATGTACATGGGAAGCTTCTTTGTTTGTTTAAATAGGGGGTGGTTAGGTCAAATATTAGGGCCAGATTCTGCTACTTTCTCCACAAGCAATAGCATTGAAACCAATGGGTTTACCTGTGCAATCAGGTGCTTTTCAGTAGAGCTGGGCAAATAGCTGATTTTCCAGTTTGCTGGCAGTTCTGAAAAATAAAATCAGAATTTTTAACAAATTGAAAAAGTCAACCAAAATTTCATTTCAGGTCAAATGAAACATTTGATCCCAAACAAAATTGTTTTTATTTCTGAGCATTTTAATCTTTTATAAACAAAAGTAAAGGGAAATGTCCCCTTTTTATCCATTTGCCCAGTGGTTAGCACACTCACCTGGGATGTGGGAGACCAAGGTTCAAATCCTTGCTCCAGAGCAGGGATATGAAACTGGGTCTTCCACAATGTAGGTGGGTGCCCTAAGCACCGAGCTATCTGTATAATAAGAGTCAGAAATGTCACTCTGCATGTCACTCTTAAGTCTACAATTTCTGTTGAGTCAGTGTGAAGCAAAAGAAGCAGCTAAAGCACGGTGAGAGATCTTTGTTCAGAATATGACCAGGCTGAATCATCACTGCGTTTCAGAGTCTGTTACCATCCAATTTTTAAGTTCTGAGCCATTTTTGGCTTTTTTACATATGACTTTACACCCATGAGACAGCATAGGCTTTCAGATACTGAGGCTATCACCATCTCCTTCTCCTTCTTTTTGTGGATGGCACTTGAGTCCTGAAAAGGGGAGTGTGTTCAAAACTACTCAGTGAATTCATGTCAAATTCGTGGATCATTTCAGTCAACCTGAAACTGCAATTTTCAACAAATAAAATTATTTAACCGAAAAGTTTTTCCCGGCTCTACTACTCAGCTCGTCTAAGGGAATCAGGTTCTAGTCCTTTGGTTTTACAGAAGAAAGTTTGTCTAAAGCCGAAGCCTTTTAGAAATGTTTGAATAATTTATTTTTATTCCACTGGGAACAGTAGTTTAAAAACAAATAAACATTCTCCCTCAGTGATGGTAACCATAGCCTTGGGTTACTTCACCAGAACGCTCCTTGTTTGTCTGCTTTCCTTTCCCAACTTTATAGAGATGCAAAAATAACTGCAGATGGCACATATAGCATGAAGTACCCTCATATCCACGTTTGATGATCTAAGACAGTGTTTCTCAACAGGTAAATTGCACACACACACCCCGGGAGTGTCACTAAAGATATTTGGAGGTTATGAGGTGCTGAAAATCTTATTACAAGCTAAAGCAAAGAAAATCTCACTTCCCACAGTCCCCTGTCCTTCAAGGTCAAGTATTCTCTGTCAATCTCTTGAAACACACAATTACATTATATAGGTTTATCATTGGCATCACTGATACTTTTTAATTCTTATCTTTATAGTAACTGTAAGGGAGGTGGGGTCATGAAGATTTTTTACTTCAAATTAAGGCATCGCCAATCTGGAAAGGTTGAAAAACCTTGATCTTAGGTGCTGGGTCTGAACTCTCCTTCCTGCTCTTGGCCTTTTGGCACAATTCAGATTCATGTCTGGATCAGAACTTCAGCACAGGCCCACCTCTCCAGTTATTAGTAACGTGGGTAAGGGTGTCTTCATTGTTGGCAGTGGACTATATCTCCCATGATGCATCATGACCAAAGACTCCCAGGATGCAGCTGCCTCACATCAGTCTTGCATAATGGGAAATGTAGTCAGACCAGGGAGCTCTGCCTATAGAATGGGAGCATAAACCACCTGAACTACAGCTCCTATGAGACACCATGACAGCATTTCCAAATTGAAATATTTTTGTGTTTTGGCCCAAATATATGTGGGGGGTGGGGTGGCCAAACACTTTTCCATTATAAAAATAAACAAACCAAAAAAACCTCTTGTTGAAAATTTTCTGTGCAGGTGGAGACAGGAAGGGATCCTGTCTTCTGGTCAGCTCTAATGATTTTTAACTTGACAGTGTCCCTTGTAATAGGGCGGTTGCCTGGCACGGCACCTTCACTATCACTGAAGGAAGGGAGGTTTCTATGTAGATGAGAGAGATTGAGACGTAGCATCACCAGGGCAGAGTATTGCTGCACAACTCCTCTGGTAACTGAAGCATTTGTGTTAATTGTCACTTCTTCACTGACTGAGGGCAGGTCTACACTACAAATTTACATCGGCACAGCTGCATGGCGCTGTAGCGTATCTGGTGAAGACGCTCTAAGCTGACAGGAGGTGGTAGCTATGTTGTCAGGAGACGCTCTCCTGCCAATACAGCGCTGTCTACATGGGAGGTTAAAGTTGATATAACTACGTTGCTCAGGGGTGTGCATTTTTCACATCCCCGAGTGACCTAGTTCTACCGAAGTAGTGTATACCAAGCCTAAGTGTGATTGAAAACTTGCTGTTGAATGACAACTTCCCTAAAAGGGATGGAGGAAACCATTAAGGCTCTGAGGTGCATTGTCTTCAAAAGAATAGTTGATGAAGAACAAGTTCTCATCCTTGCACATCCCACTGTATTGGAAATTGTTTCACAGTGGTTTGAAGGACACTGAGAAAGTAACGCAATGCACCGGACTGATACTTTTGCACTGTACCTACTGTAATGTTGAGATCTTCAATTGTATGAGTTTTTCAATTTTTATGATTCCCCTCAGCCCCCTGTTAGTTTGTAAAATATGGGTTCTACTGTGTGTGTGTGTGTGTGTGTGTGTGTGAAGAAAAAGGGGGGAGGGTGGGTTTAAAATATGTAGGAATATAAATTCCTTCATATCGTTCATGAAGTAATCTCCCCGCAAAACTCCTGCAATGAGACTACACCACTGAATCATTCCTCTTGCTTTGAAACACTTCTGTCAGGTCAGTGGCAGTGATGTTACCAACTTATATTAAAGTGAAATGGACAAAGGCTTTTTCTGGGTGGGTTTGATAACAGCACAGTGGATTATTGATTCTGGCCACGTAGAAATGAAGATTGCTAAAAAGCTTTAAATGATTGCTTGTTGCCTAGGCATTTGCTAAGTGGGTAGCTCTGCTCTTACATTATCATACAATGAAATCACATATCTTGGTGACTGTGGGTTTCTCTGAGGAGTCCAAAATCTTCCGCATTAACAAGGGACGTCAGTTGTCGCTAACGAGTAGCAGAAAGGTGATGTCAACTAGAAGATGGACAGAGTTCAGATCGAAAGCCAAATGCTGTGGTTGGCCCAATCTCTCTATCAAGGACCATACCAAAATGCTAGATGGAGGAAAAGACTTGGTTTGGCTATTAAATCCCCACCATGTTACTTAACACCAGGATGGTGTCTCCTCTTCTCTGCGTCCCTCTGGGTTGGTTGTGTGTGTGTGTGTGTGTGTGTGTGAGGGGGAGAACAGCCAAGGAGAGAGAGAGGGTTATAGAGATTGAGAGGCAGCACACTCCATTGGACAGTGTGCTAGACTAGGACTTGGAAGAAGGTGGGTTCTTTTCCCAGCTCTGACATTGGCCAGCTAGGTGACTTTGAGTTGATTCACCAAATGGTGCCTCCATTTTGCTATTTGTAAAACGGGGGTTGTGATACTGACCTCCTTTGTACCATATTTTGAAGTCTAAGAATGAAGAGCCCTATTACAAGAAGGAAGTATTATTACTAGGTAATAATAAGGTTTGCCAGAAGGCCACCAAATTTAAGATGGATCAATTGGGCCATTGTAGTTAGAATCCACCTCTTTTGGGGACTCACTAAGTGAATAAAACTTAGGGGGCTGTTTTGATATGGTAAGTAGACGCTCATGAAAAGATTGATTTAGTTCTAAAATGTTAATGATGGATCTTTTTCCCCCTTGGCCCTCCCATTGGTTTGAAGCGGGGATGTAAGTGTACATGTCTTGTGATACAGCCTTTCCTTCGTAGAAATAAAATACAGCCTGTGTATATGAATGCACTAAATGGAATGAAAATTGTGGCAATATTAGCCTGGAAGAACGCTGGCCAAATTCTAGCTTTCTCCCTAGCTATGTATCTCTCTGCAGGGTTCAGTTCTTAGACGTTTTGTTACATCCTGTCCGAAAGTGTGGTGTAGTCCTGTCATACACAGGTACCACACACCATCACATATGAGGAATGGATGACGCAAACTGCGCAGATAGCTTCATGTTTTCATATCGGCGTAAGGTTGTATAATGTGTCCTTGCTATATTAATGTGACTCTGTTATTTAGCTCTCCCAAAATGCTTTGGCCTTCTTATCTTCAAATGCCAAGCTTCTGTCAAAAGCTACAGGAATATTTATGTTAACAATAAAGAAAACAAAGCTCTTTGGTGTTCATTTGAGGAAGCCACTCAGTGAGTGGGAAATTCAGTAGTTTTGCATGCAAATCTGAAAGCCAAACAGAATGGTGCATCTTCATAAGAGCTATGGAAGAAATTCAGTTCTAACGTGACCTGCTCTGCTGTCCCTAAGAAATGCTTCTTTCTGCCTTTAGAAGTATTTGCACAGCTTGAGGGCGAGCTTGGAATGTAATGGTCTGACAAGTTCAACTGAGTGGAATTTTTCTTTGTCTTAAGTCACTCCATTCGGTGAAAGCATTGCACACTGAATCTGAACAAAGGGTTTGCTTTAATCATTTTAATTCAGATGATTTTGCAGAAGGTATAATTTTTGCTGTCATCCCACATGTTCTGAGTGGCCCTCTCATTAGGTTAAAAAACGTGAATTGGCCAAAATGAGCATCTCACACAATTTACGAGGACTTAATTAGACTTTTTCTTTTTTTAGCTTGGCAAGCAGATGATCATTTAATTTTGTTAATGTGAGTCTGTCTTTATTTCCAGCTGGTTCGCGCAGATTCAGTGGCACTCAGTGGCACATGCAGAACGTCATTAATGACTCTGTGGAGAGCTCAGACGATGAATTTTTTGATGCCCGAGGTATGTACAGGTTTTTTTTTCTTCCCCCCAGAATTTTACGGCAGTAACATAAGTAACTACATTTGGATTTGCTTTTTAATCTTCTACCTGCCAGGTCAAGTTTTGTAGACTTCAGGCCCTTTCTCCTGCAAAGTCTTATGCATGTGCTTAAATTGCACACTGCGTGTATTCCCATTGGCGTCACTGAGGCCACTCAGTTTGTAAAGTGAAGCATACATGTGAATCTTTGCAGGATTGGAACCTAAAAGCCAAATCCTCAGGGACCGGATTATCTAGCCTATCAGCTAATCATCCCTTCATATGTCACCTATCATCAGAGCATCAGAAGTACTTTGCACCCACAGCTCCTAATGAAGTCCATGGGAGTTGCGAATGCTCAGCACCTTTGAAAATTGGACCCTCCATCTTTATTCTGGCAAAACTTCCACTGAAGTCTATTAGAGTTTTGCAAATGAGTGAAAACTACATAATTAGAGCTTCAGGATATGAGCCATAATGAATGCGGTCAACAGGTTAATCTGAAGGGCTAATTTCTTTCTGTAACCTCCTGGGGCACTTAGACCATGAACAACTTTTACTAGGGAATTCTGGGTTGTCTTCTGTAACATGCTGGGGAGTTTTTGGATTGGAGCCGATGTGGTTTTGTCTACAGGAAATTAAAAATGCGAACAGCTAAACTGCAGGCTTCCGTTGTGTCTTTTCCCACAGGAGATGACTGAGTCTGTCAATGTTGAGAAATCTACTTGTAGCAGTTTTGTAATGTGGGCTGTTTGAGGTGGAATAAGATTCTTTTACACGCCAATAGATGATGCAAACTCAAGTTGCATTGGTGCCTGAATTCCAGGAGTGAAGAGGACTAGAAAAAGAGTTCAGTGAATTTACTGGATTTGTAGCACTTGGTAATTTTAAAGGGCGGAGCAATCTGTCTGGTCAGAAGCAAGAGGATTTCCCCCCCCCCCCAAGTTGGTTGATTATAGTGTGTACGTATGTGTTTGAAATAATGAAGAAACAACAACCCCACAGGCCAAAGCTAAAATGTCCAGATGCTGATTTGAAAGCACATATATTTTTTTCCATTTGATTGTTTTGGGTAATGGCATATTCAGCAGGCTTCTTTTGATGACTTCTTTTTGAAAAAACATTCAATGCTTAACAAAGAAAATGGATATTTTATTTCTAATGGCTGAGATTGTTAAATTTCCCCATCTGTTGATATTTATAGTACAGAGCTGACATTTTTCCAAATGCTTCCACTCTCTGTTTGAACACGGTTTCTCTGGAGCAGATAGAATTAATTTTATGAACTTTCTAGGTTCTTGCCTCATTATTGTGTGTCGGTTGGATGTCTGGGGATCTTGATGGTGCTACAAAAGGTAATTGATGTTTTTAGGTAGTATCCAGGCATGCATGTTTGACTGCTTTGTCTGCTGTCTTGCAATAAAATTTCATAGTTCAAAATGGTATTTCTTTTCCGTTGGTGGGATTATTGGAGAACCAGCCTGCACTCATTAGAGAGCCACCTGGTGGGTTTTCACATTGACATATTTTTGAGTTGAAAGTCAGTATGAAGGAGACATTTTGTCAGGGTTTTTTGTTTTTTTTTCTAAGGGAGGGTGAGAAGACAAAAAGGCTGCTGCAAAGAAGATGACAGTGCAAATATGAAAATCTGCCATAAACATGAGTGGTGTGAAGTAGTGTAATGGAGGAGGCAGTTTGGTGAATTTAGGAAGAGGAAAATCCAAGCACTTTTTGTTCAAATGATCAGTAGCGTAACTTCAGAGGAGATACAGCCACTGTGTTAGATTCTGACCCCAGGTCCACTGGTGGTAAATCTAGACTAGCTGAACTGATCTCAGTGGAGCTATTCTGATCTCAGTTACGTGAGCATAAATCAGAAATATCCTTCTCCCTACCACAGGCTGTTTCATTCTAGATGTATGATTAGTACAGCTGACCTATTACCTGGGGAGAAGTGTGGTCTGAGCACAGGACTAAGAGCCACGGACTTTTGAATTCTCTCCCTGCCTCGGACAATGGCTCCCTCTATGGCTTTGAACAGATTGCTTCGCCTTTCCCCTTCCATTTTGCTCTCTGTGAATCACTTACGGTAGCTGTAAAATTAATGCCAATTTGATACTTGGAAGACAAGGTGTCTGCCTAAGAGCTATATTTATTCCAGGGTTGAAAGGCAAACCCTTGATTTCTAAATCAAAGAAATAAAAACGTGTTTAAAATAAAATTTCATCATGAAATTTGGGACAAAATTCTATTCTTGTTCGTACCCTTGCCATCCATGTGGGGCAGCGGAGGGCTGCAGAGGGGTAGGCAAGGGTATTCGAACGGATGTCTTTCTGTGCAGTGCTGTACTTGTGTTGGGCCCAGGATATTCAAGAGACAGGGTGGGTGAGGTAATATCTTTTATTGGACCAACTTCTGTGGGTGAAAGCGACAAGCTTTCGAGCTTACATAGAGCTCTTCCAGATGCCTTTCTGGAAGATGTGTGTTGACTAAATATAAGTTATTGGGCTGAATGAAGTTGACCTGGGAATCTGTTTCCATGACTCTCAAATGAAACTTGCTCACATCATATGGAATCACAGAAGATAGAAATGGACCCAGTAAAGTTACAGCTATAGCTCAGACAAGGTGGTGTTAATGTTCTCTGCATTTTCATCCAGAGGGACATGTGTCTATGACCTCCCCCTTCATTTATTTGTAAGCGCCGTCTCTAGAACAAAATTTTCTTATCCCTGACCTCTGCGTAGTATTAGTAGTATTGTAGTGCTAATGATAGTATGCTGTTTAGGGCCTTTCCTGACTCTCAGAAAAATGCATAGCGTTGCAGGCTTCTTCTGTGCTTCTGTAAATTAGAATTAAAATATTACTGGGCTGTTCTATAGGGCCTTCCATCTGAAAATCTTCAAGTTGTTTACAAATAATTAATAGATTAAGTCCCACAACACTCCTGAAAGGTAAATAAATATTATTTACCCCCTTTATATGTGGGTAAACTGAGGCACAGAGTGATACGTGACTTGCCCGAGGTCACACAGCACATCTCTGCCAGAGCTGGGGATAGAACCCAGATCTCCTGGCTTTGAGCTGTGTTCTGTAAGGAAGAGCCTTGCACGGTTGCAGTATTTCTTACAGGGGCTGACTACAAGATCTCAGCTGTTGTAGTGGGACATTGTACAGAGCAGGTCACTGCTAGCATATGAAAAACCAACTCAAGTGACTAAAACATTCCTCAGCGTAATAGCTTCCTAAGCAATTTGCATTATGCAAAGCTACTGTTGTAAGGAGGCTATATGATAGGTAGAGTAGATGATGACTCTTACGGCTCATTGTGATGCGTTCCATCTTTCTCCACGCTTTGTCCAGTGACTTACTATGGACAAACAAGAGTGGACAGTGTTAGCTAAACAGCTACAGCCAAGTTGGCAGAAATTTGCACGCACACTGCCCCACAATCCACGGGCCTGACTCCGAGCCCGTTAAAATCAATTGAAGATGTCCCATTGATTTCAATCTTCAATGGGCTTTGGCTCATGCTACTGAAGTTGAGGTATGTTCATACCTGAAACTTTGTACCCATGCCACCCTGTAGTGGCTGGTATGCACATACCCGAGCTGCGTTATGCATGTTGGAATATTTGGCCCTAAAAGCATGAAAGATCTTGGTGCTTCTTGGAAGTGGTGCATTTTCTTAGCCAGAGTGATTTTGCTAACTTGGAAAAACATTTTTCCAACTAGAGTGATGACTTGGTGCTTTCATGAGTATATGGGGCTGACTTTTCGGCAGTATATGAGTAATGTAGTGGATCAGAGCTGTGCCAGTAACAATCATATTTAAACAAGGTGGTTGCTAGAAAAATATTAGCCATAAAATCCCTGTACATATTTGTCAGGGAAACCATGCTAACAATTGTGTTAGAACATGATTGAAAGAGTGCTGCAGGGTACTTGGGTAGGTGGCTTGTATAGCACCGGCTGTCTAGGATGGTTTTTAGAAGGAATAATTCCTGACTAATGCAGATTTCAGAGCAGGGAAAGTCTTATCCCATAAGGAAATGGAAAACAAGCAAAATGTGTATCTCAAATTTTTCTCAAATATATACTTGAGATATATTTTCTCAAGTATTTCAAATCTCTTTTCCCAGGAGCTCACTAATGCAAAGGAGGAGTAATTTCTTGGGACAGAGTGATGTGAATGAAGAGATGTAGAAAGAAGAGGATTCTGAATGTGCAGTGGAAGTGTAGGGCCAGATCTTCACTGATGTATATCAGTATAGTTCTGTTGAAGTAACTGGTGATATGCCAATTCAAACCGGCTGAGGACCTGACCTATATTGTTTAACTGTGTGTATTTTTTTCAGTTATCGGTGAGGAGAGTGTAAAAAATACACATTTAACTGTCAAACAGTGAGCCTGACTTTCTTCTTCTGTTGGCACCACTGTAGCGTTTTAAGAGCCCTAAGAGGAGAATTGCCAGGCTTCCCTCATAGCTTTTAACAGTTAAAAATGATTTATTAACTTTCCTGAATGTGCTATTTTCACCTAGCACTTTTTTGCGGCAATAGGTGTGTCCTTAGTAGGTCTTGCCTTTTAGTGCACCGAAAACACCTGCTTTATTTTTCAGTGGTTTCATTTTAAGTCTAACTAGGCTCAGCCGAGGAATGTGATACCAATTAAGTAGAAGATAAATCACAGGAGTGATGCTCAATCCATTTAGCAACGGATGTGGACATCTGAGATTGAATTTGAGACCTAGTCTCGGCACTATGCTTCTATAATCCATATCTATTCAGCACCATTAACCTAAGGAAGAGCAAGGCTGTCTGGAGTTGCAGTTGTATTTTCAGAATAAAAGTAACAGAGACTGGCACATCCAAGAAGAAGTTTCAGTGCTACTGTGCTGGAGCCAACTGCACCAGCATAAAAGGATAGGAGGAAATAGGATAGTTATTTAGTGCTAGAAATAAGGGGAAAGCACTTTTTTA